TGTTATCTAATGTATTTCTGCTGGATTTGCACACTCATGCATAATTATCTGAATTTGCTTTGTGGTTTTGCTCCCTATTCCTTTGCACACTTTCTCTCTCTCTCTCTCTCTCTCTCTTTGCATTTATTACTAACTTCAAGCCCTGTCTCTTGCTCACGGACTGTAGCGCTTAAAGGCTGAGCTGAATGACTTGCATCCCAAGGTGGACTCTGTGCGTGCCCAGGCCAGAGACCTGATGACAAACCGTGGGGATCACTGCAGGAAAGTAATAGAGCCCAAACTCTCAGAGCTCAACCAGCGGTTGGAGGCTATATTGCAGAGAATTAAGAGTGGAAAGGTAGGAGGACTTGATTCCGTAAGAAGATGTGTAAAAACTGCTGTTTATATAAGGGGCACAATTGCAGCTACATAGTGGGCTGCAGCTTCTCCACAAACTAAGCTTTTAAAGGAAAACAATGCAGAGCCTAAGAATACAATTTATTTTTTTGTGTGTGTGACTATTTGGGGGGTTTGAGTTAAGATCTTTTTTCACTGTTTCACATTAGAAGTATTCACTGACTTTCTATGAATGTAACAATGATTACTTCATTATATTTCAAAAAATAAACAACGTCTGAGAATTAGTAAGACTCTGTAACTTCTCAAAGTACGAGTAGCATTTTTTTATAAAGATTGGGTTTTGAGAGCTATTTTTTCATTAAATTCACTCAGTCTTTTCCTATGAGTCTGTGATTCACCAAGGTTTGAAATAGAGATTATATCAATTATACTTCAGCTACCCATCTGTACAACTGGTTTTACTGTTGAATTTTAATTCAGTATGGATTAGGTAATTTTTACTCAAATTGTGACTTCTGAGTTGGAATGAGGAAGGACAGAAACCACCTACTTCCCCCATTGTATTTGCTGCCTCTCTTGTGAAGAGCTGTTTAGCAGATTAGATCAGACACGTGCAGGTTGGTGTGTAGGATAATGGGAATCTGTGGATCCTGATCTATATTTCTGCTCGTTACCATAATAGCACTGGATGCAAATGCACAGGGGATCCATGGCAAAGCAGGAAATAAGCTTTGCAAAAAGCATAAGCAAAGAGACTTGGTTTTCATGAGTTATTTGGGGTCTGTGCAGGACTCTATCCCCTGCCTAACCAGCACATCTTTGTGGATATTTGGGGTTATTTAGGTTTCATTTCTGAAATAAAAACGTCCTCTGAATAAAGGTAACTTTTTCCTTAATGACCATCAGTAGATTTCAGCCATTCCAGTGTCCTTCTCACCTACTCCTTACACAAGTACAAACTGTGGACTGAGTTCATCTGGGCAAAAAGCCCAAACAAACTGTGTTGTCTGATGGTTTTGCTCTGAACATCTGCTGTCTGCAGTCTGGATTTCCATCCCAGTTTTACTTTGCACTTCCACAATCTTGTAAGCATACAGTGCTGATGAAGCCTTTCACAGAGTCCTGTGAAATTATTGCTTGTCTTAGAGAAAGAGGAACTGCCTGTAGATGGCTCGTTGTGGATTAACTGTTTGCATGGCATGTTGTGAGCTCATCCAGAGGGGGAAAAGATGCTCATCAAATGGTGTGTTCAGAACACAGCCTGCAAACAGTCCACCTGCAGCCATCTCACTCAGGTGTTTTCCAGTTATGAGTGTGTGGGCAAGTGGACTTGGAATGGCAGCACCACAGTAATATATAGTGAGGATGAGAGGAATTATGTCAGCACACAATTAGAATAGCAAAGTAGAGTTTGGGGGACCTTTTCCAGGCCCCTGGGGAATGAACAACTAGAATATGATTCACAAAGTATACCTAAAAGTATTGAATCAGACAGGGGCAAAAAACTTGTCCTAATTATTGGCAGTTCTACTGACTTGTTATATGCATTTGGATAAAGGACCAAATAGCTGTGCCTTGTTTTGTCTGCCTGTGTAGTGTAGGTAATTGCATTTTCCTTAGCCTTGATTTCAGCTTCATGAACTGAAAAGTTGTTATTGCTATTATGGGGTGATACTCTGCTTCCTGTGTGCTTTTGGGTTTATTCACTTAGGTAAAATTATTTACTTGTTGAAAGATTAAAGCAGTACTTCATGAGGATTGAATGCTCTCATAAACTCTTTTCAACAATTTCTCATCTGTTTTCAGATTAGCCATATATTTTTTCAAATGCTACGAATTATCAGTACAACAGTGAAGTATATAATAAATGACCTGTTATGTCAGCAAATGGTAGCATAGAATTGTCATGTCCTGAATTATCAAAATGTTCATAGTGTACTGAAATGAGACTTAAATGTTTTCAAGTGCTCTTTGAACCTCATTCAATTCTTGGAATTTCATTTGGTATTTTTCCTTCCACTTTCCTTTTATTACTGTTTTTAGCCTTTTTCAGAGATTAGAAATTTTATGTTCCAGTTTTATTAGTTGGTTGTCTTTTAATGAGATTTAAGTACTTTTGAAGATATCCTTCAGAGCATTTGAGAAGAAATTACTGTGTAGTTTGCTATTATGTCTACCTCATTTTAAATGTTTGCTGAATGTAATTCTGAGCTTCTTGATGAAAATTTGTGAGCACACTATTATTCTCTATGCATATCACACATTATTATATTTCCATGAATATTTGTAAGTGTGCAAAATCTTTGTCATTAAAACAATCAACCAGATACAATTAAGGCTTTTTTACCCTAATTCTACCAGGTCATCTGTGGAACAGCTGAGAATATATTGCACTTGACATCCACTCTCTCTTGTTTTAACTGATTAATTTTGATTGTTACCATCTTCATTATAAAAATTTGCTTTATAACAAATATCAGTTGTACTGGAGGGAAGAGTAAATTGAAAAAATATAATGTGCTGATGTCTTTTTTTTTTCTTTTCACTCACCATAAAATTCTTTTGTTTGGAAATTCTACCTAAATTCCTCTTTACTTGTATCGTTATGTTCTTTTGAGTTGTATGGTGTAGATATTTTTCAACATGATGGAAAGTCTACCATTGTTTTAGCAATAGGGGGTAGAACAGATGTCTCTTTTCATTTATGTTTCTCGTAAAACTATTAAGTGTGTGCTTTAAATAAATAATCTTTGTATTTCTCCCATTTTAGCCCTTCATTCCTGTGAAGGAATTGGAGCAATTTGACTTCGATCTACAAAAAATGCTTGAACCATTGGAGGCTGAAATTCAGCAGGGGGTGAATCTGAAAGAGGAGGACTTCAATAAAGATATGGTAATTTGGATGAAATGGAAGGCTGAGTGAAGTAGGCAGAGAGATGCAAAAACCTAAGTGAAAATTAGGAACCCATAGCTGTGTTAGGATTTTTAGATGTGAGAAAATATTACTGTGCTAATATATTATAAAATCAAAAGTCCCAAATTAGCATTAACTAAAAGTTTTAGTGCTAACTTAATTTTTAGTTTATCAGAAAAACATTTTTTGACCCTCAAGAAAATAGTGAGCAGACCAGGGGTATTATGGGTTCTATACTAGTGCCATCAATATTACAGAAAAAGGAATGAATATTAAAATCTCTGTAGTAGTATGAAGACCAAGAAAAGTCAGAATGATGTATCTAAATGGGCATTAGAGTAAAAGAACACTTTCAATAAAAATAAATGCTCATAGAGAGAAATGCCACTTGGCAATTAGTTCTTAACCAATCTGCTTAGAGCATTTAATGTAAATAGGTTTTGTGGCTGTTGTAAGTTTTATTACTCATGTTTACTTGCTGCAAGTAGTGAAACCATTTATGCATAATAGAGGGGAAAAAAAGGGGAGTAAAATACTGCTGTGCTTTTCCACTATTGCCATTGTGGTGTGTCTTGTCCAGAGTGATTTTCAGAGAGATGACATTTCCTGGCTGGGCAATAATGGAGATTCATCTCGAGAAGCCTCTCTCCAGGAGTCCTCAGCAAGCTCAAATAGATATTGTTTACGACCAATATAAAGTCTCAGTATTATGTTCCTTTTCAGGAATTCTTCAAAGGTGTCTATTTTATATCAATACTGAAAGGAATCTTTACAGGACTTTTTTCTTTTGTACAGGAAAAATGAAATTTAAGGCAGTATGTACTGCAGTGGTAAATCGTAAATGAATCAAGTTTGGTGGGGCAGTTTCCACTTCTTGAACATATTTTGCTCCTTTTCTTTATATGAAATGTTTAGTGTGGTTCAAGAGGTTCCCAGAAGCTGTGGCACAGATTCAGCTCCTGTGTAAAAAGTGCTTAGTGATACCATTTTCCCTTCCAGCCTAGCTGGTTTGCAATGTGGTGCTACATGGAATGGTTGGGAATTAATGGTCTCCTAGCACACTGCCAATCTCAATCACTACTGACAGGGATTTAGAATATTTTTAGATATATCTATTCTTTTTGTTTTAAAGAAAAATATGTTACCTTTTTGCCTTTAATGTTTTCAGCCTGTTATCCTGGATGCTGCATAAAATCTAATACCAAACATCTGTAGGTTTTCAGGTGCTGTCTTACTTTTATCCCTCAAGTGTCTCCATGTGTTGTAGAAAGCATGTAAAAGTTACTTGGTCTTCAGTATAGAACTGCAAGAAGCTGTTAGATGATGCCTTTAGCAGAGGAAGGGTAGTTTTTTATGTCTATGTCTCCTAGTACTTAAGTAACAATTAGATTAAAATATCCATTATATTGGTGGGTTTTTTTCAATCAGAGTGAAGAGGACGAGAAGACAGTGAAAGAATTGCTCCAGAGGGGTGAGAGGCTTCAAAAGGGAGTCACAGACGAGAGAAAACGTGAAGAAATAAAGACCAAACAGCAGCTGTTGCAGACTAAACATAATGCCCTCAAGGTATAGGAGCTACAATTATAAGCACGTGCTACTAAAACCATTTTTTCTTCATGTCAGAGCATTGTTTTGTTAAATGGTCTTCATTACTATTTAGAAATGAGTAATCAAAAACTATTTGGCTGTAGATATATTTTCTTACGCAGTTCTCTTGATGCCTTACAAAAGGCAAATCTTGTCCTCAGTATTACAACCTTGTGATTTCCAGCTGAACAACAATGATTTCTTAGATAAAAATTCCTTTTTTTAGCATATTATGCATGTTTTATATTTCTCCAACAGCAATCAAGACCTTAGTTAGAATCACTTTTCACAAACAACAGACCTCTGGCCATGTATAAGTTGGTTTCTCCTATAGTAAAATATTTACATGTTAGAAAAGTGTTTCCAACCATCTAGAGTGGGGTCAGTGGTATTAGCAATAAACCTAGCAGCTAAGAGGCTGAAAGCCAAAACTGCATATGAGAATTCTGTGTTCCCACAGTCCTGGAGATATAACTGATACTGTTCCTAGAAACACTCACAATGACACCTTTTGGAGCAGCTAATAGGTGTAGTTGGACGTGTCATCTTTTCATGGAAAATAAAAGTGCAGAAAGAGAATCTTACTGGAGAGTCACCTTGCTCACCTATGTGAAGCTGTAGGTTCTGGCTGCTACAGAAGAATTTTGCAAGCAGAATTTTTCTTTCTTCTGAAAGTTTCTATTAAGTTGCCCTGGGTTTGGGGAACATGTTTGCGTTTACTATAACTTACTTTTGAGCAGCCTCTTTCCTGTGAATTTCATTCTCATTTTTACAGGTTTGCAGATCTGTGTGAATTCAGGAGAAGCATAGCTGGAATATACTATTGTTTTGTCCACATTTAAAAGAAACTTAAAATCTCTTAAGTGTGCCTTTCCAAGCCAAATGGAAGCAATTTTTAATTTTTATGTTGGAGAAAGAAGAACAGTGTTTCTAGCCCTTCCTACTGACCAGATCCTTGCTGGCTGTTTTTCTGCAGTAGAGTGAAAGATTTTCCTTTGGGTGACTCAGTTAAGGCATTTGCCCTTAGCAAATAAACTTCAGGAATGGTTGAGCCAAATTCATTAGAGTATTTTATATAAGATGTACTAGTAATTTTTTAATTTACTTATTAATAAGAAGTTATAGTGCTGAAAATATTTTCTGAATTCTCTTTGAGTGAAGTGAAGCAGTTGAAGCGAATGTATATTTAATATCATTTATAGGAAAAATAACCCACTTTTTTTACC